GTCTTTTGTAGCGGGTATCCGAGGGTCTGCGCTGGATCGTCAAAGATAGCCCCAGAGACAGTTGCCTAAAGTAACTCATTGAGTTCCGCCGCCCTGGAGGCTCGTCTTGAGGGCCCCCAATGCAATATTGGAGGCTTCTGGGGCCGTCTTTCAATCCACTCGGGCCGTCCTCGGGGCATCTTGGGCTGTCTTGGGTCCCCTCGGGACGCCATCTTGGGCCACTGTGGGGGCCACCTTGTCGAGCTCGGACTCGATCTGGAGGGCCCGAACAGCGTGGCACACCAGCCACCTGTCGGGAGGCCAGCCCAAGATGGATCCACGCTGCTTTTTGGAAAGGAGGAACCGCCCTCCACCCACGCATGGTTGCACAATTTGACGCGCCGGGACAGAACATGCAAGAAAGCCCCGCGTGAGAGCCACACTTTGAGAACTGGCCGCCCTCCATCCGAGCAGCTGTTGAAGGCTGCCAGCACGAATGTGCGAGCGGGCGCGCCGCGAAGTCTAGATCGACATTTGGGCAACCGCCCGCTCTCCATCCGTGGAGCCGTTGGAAACGTTGAGGAAGTAGGCTGCGACATTCGGACCCCGGCCCCACCAACCATCGATCCCCCTGAATCGATGGGGGGCGGGGGCAGAGTTCGGACCTCGCGACGTGCCCGCCGCCCATCGAATTGCTTGAGACGTTGATCGGCGAGGGGAGGGTTCGGATTTCGCCGCCGAAGGAGGATGTGCGCACCGTGAAAGAGAGAGCTGAAGTTTGAGCAGCGAGTGCCGCCCACCCGCGTTACTGTCGGAAACGTAGGAGCCTTGGGATCAGAATCGCCGAGGAAATCTCATACGAATCGCCCTACCGGCACGTCCGTAGGTGCGTCAAGGAGGAATTATTCCGTCGACCCTCGAGGAGGTGACTTTCGAATGGAGAGTACCAGTGAGAATCGCTGCGATGAAGAAGATGGGGAGGGTCACGCGCATTAGCAGAAAGACGTTGGGAAATGTCTTTCACTCGGCGTACGATGTGAACTGCCCACCACTCAAGGTCAACCAGAAACGCAGAAAAAACAAAGTCTTAATGCGCTGGGCGCATGCTCCTAGGCAAACGGAAAAACAGAAAGGGAGTACGGAAAGGTCCACGGACCTTTGGAGGGGCTGTTCTCGGGTCCAGGGCGAACGTCATGGGAGACTTTGACATTGCCTGGGGGGCAAGTGGCGGTGGAAATGGTGAAAGCTTTGGGCTGGCCTGGCCTGATTGGTTATTCGGGATGGTGTCTTGAACTGTCTGAAGGCAGCCTGAGAGACCCGGGGGACGTGCGAGGGGACGCGCCAGAGGACGTGCCAAGGGGCGTGTCCAAGAGCCTCGTAAAGGTCTGTTCGAGCTGTGTTGGGTACGTCTTGGGGTGGGCCATCGTAGGCCTTCTTCGGTTATCTTGGGTCCGTCTGGGCTCCCTTGGGGTGGGAGGTTATTGGGTTTTTAGGGGCTGTCTGGAGCTTATCTCGGGCTGGCGAGGGTCTTCTCGGACGGTCTGAAACCAATCTGGTGGCCCTCCTGTGGTGTCTCAGGGCCAGCTTGGGCTTTCCTGGGCCCGTCTTGGGACCCTCTTGGGGCGTTAAGGCCAGCTGGGAGCGACCTCGGTGGTTTCTCGAGCTGTCTGGGACACTCCGACACCGAAAAAACACACGTATGCGAAAGACATGCGACAACGCATTGAAGAATAACAGCCATGTGTCTGTCAGGGGGGACTATTGGGCATGCATTCGGGCGCCCTTGGGGGTGCTCCAGCGGCTCCTGGGCCGACCTGGGCACATCTGGGGCCGTGCGGACACATCTTGAGAGCACGGCGGCCGACTTGGAGGCCCTCTTGGGACATCTGGGGGAGCACCTCGGCCGTCTTGGACGCTTTCCTTGCCCCAGAAACCAAGCAGAGGAGAAGGAGGAATCCGCTGCCCCTCAAGGGGGCGATCCAGAACGCACAACGCGAGCAAGGCCGACCGCAAGGCAACGAAAGCAAAAACTTGCACTAGCCCCAGACTCGGAGAACTCGCGGAGCCTACCCTTGGCCGTCTTGAACGCTGGGGAGGCCTTGCAGGGTGACGCGTGGGGCCAACTTTGACCGTCTTGGGCCCGTCTCGACTTCTCGTAGGCCCGGTTAGGCCGTCTGGGAACGATATGTGGAACTTTGGGGCCGAGGAGGAGAGCATGCGAAAATCATACAAAAACCGATGGGGATAAAAACAGCAACGAGCAGTCAGTGTCTGCTGAAAGCCTCGTGGGGATGCCTTCGGACGCCCTCGGGGTGTCTCCGGCGGTTCCTGGGCCGCGCTGGGCCCATCGGGTTCCCTGCGGAACGGTTCTTGGGTTTTCTGGAGGTGTCTGGGGCAGCCCGAAGGCCGAAAAGGCGAGCACACAAAAATCACACAGCGACCTACAATAACAAAATGCCTGTCGGGAGCCTCTTGGGAATGTTTTCGGCTCGCCACGGAGCCGTCATCGGCCGTAGCGGGGCTTCGTTGTCTCGTCTGGAGGTGCCTTGGAGACATCTTTAGGACCGCTTGGAGCCATCTTGGAGCGCGTTTCTTTATGTTCGGCGATGACAGGCGTCATGGGGGGGGGAAGGCGGGGGGGGTGTATGACGTGACGCCCCCCCCCGCCGTGTGGCTCCGGCACCACAGCCGCGCCCGCGCGCACGACGAGACGAGCGACGAGCGACGAGCGACGACGACGACGCGAGCAGCATGTAAGTGGGGATCTGCCCATTGCGCCTGTGCACCACAAACGCTCGCGTGCACCACACCGCGCGTGTGCACCACAGCGCCTGCGTACACCGCGACAGCCGTGTGTAACGCACCGCCCGCGTATACCACAATACTTGGGAGCACTACAGCGCTGGGGTACATACACCGCAGCAGCAGCCATGTGCAACACAACGCCTGTGTACACCACTGTGCTTGCGTGCACCGCAGTGCCTGTGCACGCCACAGCGCCTGTCTACACCACAGCATCCGCGTGCAACGCAGCGCTGGTGTACACCACAGTGCCTGCGTGCATAGGACAGGTAGAAGGAGCATGTACGTCAGGATCTGCTGCGGACGACTAAACGCCACGCCAGGAAAGTTCTGAGAATCGAATGCGATGTTTTTCCCTCCTCCCTCCTCCTCCACCTCCTCCTCCTCCTCCTCCTCCTCTTCCTCATCCTCCTCCTCCTCCTCGTCCACCTCCTTTTCCTCCTTCTTACCCCCTGTCGTGCGGCTTGGCGTTACAACGCACGTGCGCATCGCAGCGTGCACCGCAGAATGGTCGATTGAATCGGTCCACTTGGTTCTCGGACGGCCAGTTTAGCTGGAGCCTCCTGGACGCCAATGGGAGTTAGGGTGATGCGGGCGGACTCGGGGGGACTCGTAGATTCCAGCGGCGCTCCTTCGTCCATGAGGAATTGCTTTCCATTGCTTTCTCTGACATCCACACGCGCTCCATTTTGTCACAAGGATTCTTTTTGAAATTATATACACAACAATGGTGCTGTGTTGCACACGGCAGATGTGGTGCACACGCGCGCCGTGGCGTACACAGGCACTACAATGCACGCAGGCAGTGTGGTGCACAATGGTGCTGTGTTGCGCACGGCTGATGTGGTGTACGGAGGCGCTGTCGTGTACACAGGAGCTGCTGTGCCCGCAGGCACGGTGGCACAAACGAACGCTGTGTTGCACGCGGCTGCTGTGGTGTACATCGGCGGTGTGGTGTACACAGGCGCTGTGGTGCACGCGGGCACAGTGATGTACACAGGCGTTGTGGTGCATATCGCCACCTACATGTTCGTGATACCCGGCCTTCGTCATTCCTATGCATTCCCAGACGCCGCCGGCGCGAAACGTGACGTCATCGACCCCATCCCCCCCAAGATGATTGCCATCATCGGCCCGGACTCAAAAACAGGCTCCAGCCGCGTCCGCGCGCACGACGATGATGAGCGACGAGCGACGAGCCACGAGCGACGACGACGGACGACGACGACGACGACGACGACGACGACGACGCCTGCGGACCAGACACCTATGCGGATTCCTACGCGGACACCTGCGCGGATCCCAATGCGCACGGCGGCAGTGCCCGGAGCGCACTGGGGGGGGGAGCGTTACGTCATAGGGGGGGGGGGGGCGGTGGAGCGGGGGCCATGACGCCCGTCATGCCCCAAGCAATAAAGAAACGGGCTCTTGGGCCGACCTGGCCAGCCGCAAGACTCTGGAGGCCCGGCCGGCCCCCCGTGCCCCGGTGGCATGTCGAGGGCCGGGCTCGGGAGCCCCAGACCCGTCCACCAGGTTTACTGTGCTTAGAATGGCTTTCATTGACGCGCACAAGCCCCCAGCACGGCGTGGCAGCACAGGTGTGAGCCTGCGTAGAGATTCCAGTGGTACCTCATAGGCGGGGCCGGCCTCGGAGGGGCCCCCAAGCGGTTGACAGATGCGACCGTTTAGATTGCCATCAGACTTTTTAAAACCTTTTGAAAAGTCAGGCCGCCTAGCGCACAAGAGGATGTCTAGATGCTGCTTCGCGCTCGGGCGCACAGCTCGCGACCTGTCGTGCGAGCTGTGGGGGGTGAGCGTGGCGACACCTCACGCCCAAGGCTGAGCGTGGCGTGGCATCAAGGCTCAGGGCTTGAGGAACTGACGTGGCTTAGTTCACATGCCTGAAAAGCGAAAGCCAGAGATTCCAGCCACACGCTTCGAGAAACGTTTGTATACGACGATCAGTTCGCCTATTCGTGATAAGCTGCATCTACAATACGAGCGAGGAGAACCATATCCTGTGCCAGCGAACATTGCAGTTAAACAGTTGGAAGACGTTGCAGAGAAGAACTGGCCTAAAGGTGTGTTCTTGCATCGTCTACCAGAGTAAGTACAATGGAGGGGTCCTCACAGCCTTCGACACCTTTAACTACAACCACATATACGTTTCAGATCAAACGACTTGCATGCTGTATCGGGACCCCCGTGGCCCTCCCCACCAGAGTCAAAGAGGCCATGATGACCGCCGCGACGCAGACCCCCGTCAATATTGAGGTCAACGACTCGACAATGCCCATGCCAAGCAGGTGGGTGACCATCGCGCCCGTCCAGGCACCAGTTCCTCCCGCCCGCAAGTCATGCCATCTCGACGCCCGGACCCCAAATTCTCATATCGTCTGGGGCGCGTCGCGGCTCTCCGGCGGCCCGCGTCTCCGGAGGCTGCTGTTTCCCAAAATCCTGTAGGGTTGTTGTTTTCTCTGGACACCCCGGGCAGGCCTCACCTCAAGCACCCTCCCGTCCTCCTCTCCTTTTCACATTCATCGTTATCATCATCGCTATCATCATCGCCACATCAGTATCAATATGGGGGAAGTCTCGAGCTGGAGCATCGTGTAGAAGTGAATCCTGAGAAAGTCTAGAGCGGGAACCACTCCGTATGGGGTCTCCGCCTCAGGTTCTTAATCCGAGCGGGTCATCGGGATACCATAGCAAACATATCCCTTGAGCACCCCGAGAGGGCCAATCGTGAGGATATCTCAGGCGGGAGCCTCGTCTGTGAGTGGCTTGCAATGAAGACATCGGGATCCTGTACCAATCATATCACTTGAGCACCCCAAGGAGGCAAATCGCGAGCATGTCTCGAGCGGGGGCCTCGCCTGCGAGTGATTCGCGAGGAATTATCAAGGGGGGGGCCCTCCCTATGGGATCCATGCCTCATGTTTCTAACCCGAGCAGGCCATCGGGAAACAATAGCAGGCATAACACTTGAGCACCCCAAGGGGGCGAATCGTGTGGATTCCTCGAGCGGGGGCCTCGTCTTTGAGTGATTGGCGAGGAGATATCGAGCGGGAGCCCTCTCCCTATGGGGCCCCCGCGTCATGTTTTTAATCCCAGCGCGTCATCGGGATACTGCAGCAGGCGTATCACTTGAGCACCGCAAGGGGGTACATCGCGAGGATGTCTCGAGCGGAGGCCTCGTCTGCGAGTGAACCGCGAGGAATTATCGAGCGGGAGCCCTCTCCCGATGGGGCCTCACCACACGTTGTTTATCCCAGCGTGTCACCAGGATACTGTAGCACGCATACTTGAGCACCACAATCTGGCAAATCGCGAGGATGTCTCGAACGGGGGCCTCGTCTGTGAGTGACTAGCGAGGACGTCTCGAGCGGGAGCAAGGGGCGCACAGGTTACACAGGTTACACAGGCTTCACAGGTCCCACGAGTCTCACAGGTCCCACGGGTCCCACAGGTGCCACAAGCACCAGAGGTCCCACAGGCCCCACGAGTCCTACAGACCCCGCAGGTCCCATAGGCTCCACACGTCCTACAGGGTTCGCAAGCCCCACAGGTCTCACAGGCCCAACAAACCCTACAGGCCGTACAGGTCGCAAGGGCCCCACAACTCCTACACCACAAGCCCCAGAGGCCCCACAAGTTCCATGGGCCCCACTGGCCCCACAAGTCCCACAAGGCCCGCAGGTCTCCCAGGTCCCACAGGTCTCATAGGTCCCACAGGCCTCGAAGGTCGCACCGGCCCCGCAGGTCGCACAGGTTCCACAAGTCGCACAAGTACCACAAGCTCTGCTGGTCTCATAAAGTCCACGGCCCCCATAAGTACCAACGGCGTCACAGGTGGCATCATGGCATTGTCCTGGCATCATCAGCAGCTATAGTCGTCAATGATAATAATGACTCCCATGGGCGCCAAGAAACCCAAGAGGGCCCCAAGACCGCCTAAGAGGTCCCAAGACGGCTCAATAAGCCCCCGAGACGGCCCAAGAGAACCCCAAGACGGCCCCAAGGCGGGCCCCAAAGTGGAAACACGGACTTACTTGTCGCGCCCTGCGCCCGAAAAAGGCCCCTAAGACCGCCACCAAGCCCCCAGGAGGCCTCCAAGAGACCCCGGGAGACCCTAAGAACCCCAAAAGCAGGCCCCACGAGGCCCCAGAACGGCCCCCAAGAGGTTCCAAAACTGCGTCCCGGAGGCTCGCAAAAAGGCCTCCCAAGAGACCCCAACAGGCAGCCCTGAGAACACTTACCCACACCCCCAAGCACGGTGGAGGGTTTGGCCAAAACACAACAGGCCTCCAAAAAGGACAGAAAGGAAGGCCCGAACGGGCCAAACCATCGATTTGCCCGAAGGTTTTGGAAGGATTTGCGATTTGCTCACTTTTGGCATTCCAACGGCCCCGGATGGCTCAAGAGGCCCCAATAACCAAGAGCGACCGAGAGGCCTCCAAGATGGCTCAAGGACGGCCCAAGCTGCCCACCAGACGGCGCCAAAGGCCCCAAGACGGCCCATGATACCTCCAAGACGCCCGAGGCAGCCTCCAAGACGACCCAAAAGCGCCCCAAGAGGGCCTCAAGTCCGCCAAGAGGCCCCCAAAAACGGCTTCCGACCGCGTCGGAAAAAAAAACAGGAACGCCCTCAGACGGCCAAGAAACATACCAAAGAGCATCCAAAGGCCTTCGACAAGCCCAAAGAAGCCCTCGAGAGGCCAGGAAGCTCCCAGGAGGCCTAAACAGTGCCCCAACGGGCTGCCAACAGATTTCTTCCTCCCCCTCCTCCTGCCCCTGCTCCTCGTCAACACCATCAGCATTATCAGCGGCAGCGGCATCACCATCACCATCACCATCATCATCATCATCATCATCATCATCATCATCATCATCGTCATCATCATCATCATCATCATCATCATCAGCATCATCATCATCATCATCCTCATCATCATCATCATCATATGGCTGGGCCTACGGCTGGCTTTTCGGGCCCAATCGACTCACAACCAACACCCTCATCAGCATCGTCATCAGCATCATCACCATCATCGTCAAATCGTCATCCTCATAATCACCACATCGTCGTCTTCATCATGATCATCGTCCTCGACACCTCATCGCCATCGTCATCGTCATCACCGTCATGATCAGCATCGTCATCATCCTCGCCGTCGTCACCCAGGATCGCCAGAGACACGCCGACCTTCGGCGGGGGACGGGGGAAGGCAGATCGGAGACATGTGTTTTGCAAGCAACCGCAGGATTCCCGCAGGTCTCGGTCCAAAGTGTCTGGGACTGTTGCAGGCAGGCCCTGATCGGCCAGGCCAGAAGCAGGGGTGGCCTGCTGCCTCGCACGGTCTGAGCGCGACACTTCGGCCAGCACCTCCGCCAGCTCAGGGAGCGCCACGGGGGGCTCTGCCAAGCGCTGGGCCAAGGCGCAGTTCACGATGGCCAGGCGTGGAGTTGATCTTGCGCGCCCTGACCTCCCGAAACACGTCGGAACAGATCGCGGCGGCGATCCGCGGCCAGAGGTCGTGGGCGTCGTCGGTCTTTGGCGTTGCAGCCTACCCGTCGAAAGTGCGATTGCACTCCTCTCGGCGGCGTGCGCGGCGGTCCAGGGCGAACGGGCCCCCGACGTAGAATGGCCCAGGCTCTTGGTTGAGGGCGGGTTGCACTTGGCCTTCCACCTTCGCATCCGCGGGGCGCGCGCCGAAAAGCGTCGCGGACGCACGCAGCAAGGAGCAACCGCCGTCTGCGTGCCAACCGTCGCCCCGCGCGCCCGGCCCCGCAAGCTGGATCGATGCGCGCGCGAACGCGTTGTCGGCGGAAGTCCCAGGATGGGCTTCCCGCTCTTCTTGGAGATCTCTCCCGGCACGTCGTCGTCGCGGACCGCCTCGCGCATTTTGGCGCCGAGCCGCTGCCCGCGTCGCTCGCGCGAATGCGGCGAAGCGCCCCGGCGGTAAAAGCTGCAAGCTCGCGCCCTCGTTCAGGGCGCGGCGCGCCAGGCGCCGCCCCCCCCCCCCCCCTCGGACGCACTGGGAATGGGTTGCCCCCGTCTCCAGGCGCTGCTTGGCCGGGCTGTTCCAGCTGGGCAAGTCTGCAAAAAGCCAAGCAGATATTGGCCGAGGTCCCCCGCCGCTATCGTTCTGACGCCGCTCTTGCAAGGCTGCTTCACAAGGCAGACGCGCGGCGGCACCTGGCCAGGCGGCGGCGGGAAGCAGCGGGCATCCCATCCGCCTCGGAGACGCCCGTTCTCGCGGACGGCAGCCGCGCCAACAACTGGTCGACGAGCTGGGCGAAACCTTTGGGGCAGCCTGCGAGGCCGGGGGGGGGCCGCGCCCGCGGGGGCTTCGCTGTTCTGGCCGCAAGCCAAGCCTCGCCCGACTGCCCGTGCCACTTCTCGAAGAAAGGCGAGAAATCCAGCCGCGCGGCCGGGCGCCCTGTCATCCGCGGCCCCTCTCTCTCGCTGCCTGGAGACCATGAGATCGCCGCGATGGCGTCCGCGAAGTCTCTGCCGCGCGCAACGCAGAAGAGCGGCTGGCGCGCGCATAACTCCGCGGCCGCGCGCCCGAAGGACCACATGTCCAAAAATGCTTGAATGCGCTGGCTCCCTAGGAAGACGTCTGGGGCTTGTACTTGGCCGCGCGCGCGTGGATCTCGTCGTCGCTGGGGCGCAGCTTCCTCTGCAACCTGGCGCGGGCGTTCGCAGTCTCCGCGCGGCCGAGATCGCCGATCACCGCCTGCGGAGAGAGGGGGCGGGCGGAGGAGTGGAGGGCGACGACGACCTCCAGGGGGAAGGGAAGAGAACGGCGGCAGGACGACGACCTCTGGGGGGAAGGGTGGGACGGATGGCAGGGCGACGGCCTCTGGCGGGGGGGGCGGATTCTAGCCGCCCTGGTGGGCACGCGATTCCAGCTCGAACAGCCCATGTCAGAACTCGATGCGAGTTATAACAGCCCATGCTAGACCTCGATTTCAATCCTGACGGCCCATGATAGAACTCGACGTGAGTTCTAACAGCCCATGTTCGAACCCCATGGAGTTCTAACAATCCATGCTATAACTACTCGACTTGAACTCTAACCACCAATGTTATAACTCGAACTGTTCTAACAGCCCGCGTTGGAACTCAATCGAGTTCTAGCAGCCCATGCTCGAAGTCAACTTAAATTATAACTACCCACGTTAGGACTCGATTGAGTTCTAACAGCCCATGCTAGAACTCGATTGGAGCTCGAAATGCAGCCCGTCGAGCAGGCCGTTGCAGCAGTGGCGCATGCCGCCCTGTGTGACCGTGGATGTTCTGAAGAAATTGGCGCACGTCGATCTCGTAGAGGT